ATGCGAAAACAGGCTTGAACTAAGGGTCTGGGAGCTGTCCCTCAGCTTTTCCATTCAAGGCTGGCACTCTAATACTGGAGCCACAGCTCCACTTGTGACTTTTTGATGGTTAACTGGGGATAAAAGCCTTATGAACTTTTCTTTGGGGCTGTGCTGGCTTTTAACTGTGATCTTCAGCCTCCTGAGTAGCTGGGATTACAGGCATGAGCCACTGGTGCCTGACTCAAACTTTTCTTGAGCACCTACCATCTCTTAGATAGATGGATCTTCAAGATAACCAGGCCGCTGCCCTCAAGAAGTTTGCAGACAATTCTTTTTTTTTGGTCGGTTGTGGGGCTTGAACTCTGGGCTTGGGCGCTGTCCCTGTGCTCTTCAGCTCAAGGTGAGCGCTCTACCTGAGCCACAACGCCACTTCCAGTTTTCTAGTGGTTTATTGGAGATAAGAGTCTCACAGACTTTCCTGCCCGGGCTGGCTTTGAACCATGATCATCAGATCTAAGCATCCTGAGTAGCTAGGATTGCAGGTGTGAGCCACCGGCGCCCGGCTTGTTTGCAGACAATTCTAACACAAGAAATGCCAACTTCAGCCAGGCACCGGTGGCTCACACCTGTAATCCTAGCTACCCAGGAGGCTGAGATCTGAGGATTGTAGTTCAAAGCCAGCCCAAGCAAGAAAGTTCATGAGGGCTGGGAAGGTGGCTCAGTGGTAGAGCGCTTGCCTTGCATGCTTGAGGCCCTGGGTTCGATTCCTCAGCACCCCATAAGCAAAAAGAAAAAAGCCGGAAGTGGCGCTGTGGCTCAAGTGGTAGAGTGCTAGCCTTGAGCTGAAGAGCTTAGGGACAGTGCTCAAGCCCAGAGTTCAGGCCCCATGACCGGACCCAAAAAAAAAAAAAAAAAGAAAGTTCATGAGACTCTTATCTCCAATAAACCACTCAAAACCGCGTACTGTGGCTCAAGTGGTAGTGTGCTATCCTTGAGCTGAAGAGCTAAGGGACAGTGCCCAGGCTCAGAGTTCAAGTCCCACGACTGACCAAAAAAAAAAAAAAAGAAATAAAAGAAAAAAGAAATGCCAACCTCATCACAATTTTTTCTTTTATGCCAAACCTCAGGCTTGAACTCAGTGTCTGCCTGAGCTTCTTTTGCTCAAGGCTAGCACTCTACACTCCGAGCCACAGTGCAACTTCTAACTTTTTCTGAATGCTTTATTGAAGATTAAGAGTGTCAAGGTCATTCTTGCCTGGGCTGGCTTCGAACCTCGATCCTCAGATCTCAGCCTCTGAGTAGCTAGGATGACAGGTGTGAGTTACCAGCACCCTGCTGCAAGGTTATTTGTTTTTTCTAACACTGCATAGTTCCAGTAATTGATACAAAGTCCTCAGCAAACCCCATGTATCCTTCCATCTATGGATCTTGCAGTGAACCACTGGACATTTTCAGAAAACCCGTTCCAGGTGGAGAAGGACGCCAGCAGAGTGGGTGGAGATGCGGTTTCTATCTTGTTTTGGAATGTGGACTTTCTTTCCCCCCCCCCTCTGGATGCTCCCAGCGTCAGGTTGGAGATGCATGCAAAGCAGTGGGGGCTTATTCTAACCAGATCAGGATAGAGGCAGCCCAGGACACTGTCTCCATGGCACACAGTCCCAGACAGTTTGGAAACAAACAGAAACCCATTGGGGGGGGGGGGAGAGGGCCGGGAATGACAAAGACAAAAACAAAAGACAAGAGATGGAAAACTGGGCACTGGGATGGGGTGGTAGAAAGGAGTGCAAGAAGGAGAGACCTGGGAGGGCTATGGAGGGGCTTGGGGAGGGGGAGTATTCCTGTTTTGGGCTTAAGGCACTGAATTCACCAGGCCCCAGGGCCCAAGCATCATCACCATGGAAACCTGGGAGGGTGGGGAGGCAGATTCTAAGCCAATACAAACCTCCTGGGTTTAGCAGTACATGGGCTCAGATACCATGGGGCCATGTTCTGAAGAAAAATAACTTCATCAATCAGTGTCTATTTTTATTTTTATTGCTAGTCCTGGGGCTTGAACTCAGGGATGCTGGGCACTGTCCCTGAGACTCTTTGTGCTCAAGGCTAGCACTCTACCACTTGAGCCAAAGCACTACTTCTGGCTTTTTCTGAATAGTTTATTGGAGCTAAGAGTCTCACGGATTTTCCTGCCCAGGCTGGCTTCAAACCTCAATCCTCAGATCTCACCTCCTCAGTAGCTAGGATTACAGGTGTGAGCTACCAGCTCTGGGCTTCAATTGTAGTCTTTAAGTGACAAACTCCTCACCCACTCCTGGCTTTGTACACAATTGTATTTAATGGAATGGATTCATCAGAAATGACACTGAAAGTGAGGAGTTGATGGCTCATACCTGTAATCCTAGCTATTCTGGAGGCCAAGACCCAAGGATCGAAGTTCAAAGCTAGCCAGGGCAAGAAAGTCCATGAGGGGCTGGGAAGGTGGCTCAGTGGTAGAGCGCTTGCCTTGCATGCCTGAGGCCCTGGGTTCGATTCCTCAGCCCCACATAAGCAAAAAGAAAAAAGCCGGAAGTGACACTGTGGCTCAAGTGGTAGAGCGCTAGCCTTGAGCTGAAGAGCTGAGGGACAGCGCCCAGGCCCAGAGTTCAGACCCCACGACCGGACCCCCCAAAAAAAATCCCACTGAGCCCTTCCCATCATGCCCTTCATCCGAAAGGCCCACTCACTACCCCTTCCAAAGTGGTATACTGGACAGTGACACTGGTAACAGAGGCCTGAGGGCAAAGCTTTTCACAACACCTAGGCCTAAGGGACCCTAACTGAACCTCCATCCACTCCCGTCTGCCATCAAGTGCCAGGCAAACTTCTGTCTTGTGGGCATTTTACTCAGTGAAGAGATTGCTTCTTTCTCCATGGTCAGGGCACTAGCTCTGCTACAACCTTCAGAATCCCATTTTCAAAGCCAGCCCCCCACCATGCTTGGCCTTGTGAGATCTGCCTTAGGTTGAAGTACTTAGAGAGAGCTAAGCCTCATTCGGGGTTTTTCTTCCTCCTATCTTTCCATTCATAGATCCCAGAGTTCTCCTATTGTCTCGTTACCCTAGTTCTGAGCTGATATACCTATCAGAACCCAAAATGTTGTTTTTTTTTTGGGGGGGTCCAGTCGTGGGGCCTGAACTCTGGGCCTGGGCACTGTCCCTCAGCTCTTCAGCAAAAGGCTAG